TGCGTTACCTTAAGATAGACTATTCGTCGTCAAATCCGGAAGAGAATATCGCAGCCATCTTCCTGTCGGATTGGGTCTAATCCGTGTGTCAAAGTTCATAATCCATGGCCACCGTCTCGTCGTCTTAATCATTCGCACCCAGCTGAAAATTCGTCATTAAGTATTAACATTAAACGAAGCTTCATTAAAAATACTGTACATATGATTTGCTCGCTCCCAAACTGAAGCAGTATTGACCCCCCAAAGGAAATTAAACAGTACTGTATTTCCACACCAGATGACAGTCGAGGTGAGTAAGTTTGGAGATTTATTCCCATGACTCAGTTTCACCACATACTGTAAATGCACTTCTAAAATAATCTCAAATTCTGTTTACCATATTTGTAGTGACTGACAATTACCATAAATAAACTTCTCAATCTAACAGAGTGAAAATGTACTACAGGTGTGTGATGTAGTGAAACCATTTCTTAATATTAAGCAATATACTGGACACACCTTATCCAAATACAGTACCTGTCACTACTGAAGTAAACTACAACTCTTGTTCACAAAAGTATAGAGGTTCCCTCACCATGGTCATTCTCTCTTTGGTCAACTTGATGTATAACTGGAAGACCGAGGCAAAAAGTCCATGATGACAGCGAAAGGCTTCTGGTTTAATAGTCCGCCACTCTGCTTCCTCGTCATCCTGCCGTTAGCAACATAACATTTAATTTGTAAGAGCAAATCATTTAAAAGATAAAATTTACCAAAATAAATAAATAGATCCCATTATGAATGTATATTAAAAAATAGACACTTTTGAATGGTGGGCATTAGTAAAGTATTAAGTTAAACAAAGACACCTGAAAAAAGGCATAGAAATTTTACATGTGCTGCTGGCATTTCAAAATAAATCTAGAAGAGGATAGGGTTAAAACTTTACCTTAGTTAAAGTGATGAAGTCTGTTAAAAAGAACACTCCTCGGCACCTTCAATTCTGAAGAGCAATTTAGCTAATTGGGGATTTCTGAGCTGCTGTGATGTTGGCAAAGTTTGCAGTTCCAGACTCAAGTATCTGAAATGATGAGCTACAGCAGTGTATTGTACCTGTACCTACAGCAGTGTGTGTACCTGCTACACAGGTTTGTACCTGCTACAGCAGTGTATTGTACCTGTACCTACAGCAGTGTATTGTACCTGTACCTACAGCAGTGTATTGTACCTGTACCTACAGCAGTGTATTGTACCTGTACCTACAGCAGTGTATTGTATCTGTACCTACAGCAGTGTATTGTACCTGTACCTACAGCAGTGTATTATACCTGTACCTACAGCAGTGTATTATACCTGTACCTACAGCAGGGTATTGTAACTGTACCTACAGCAGTGTATTGTACCTGTTCCTACAGCAGTGTATTGTACCTGTACCTACAGCAGTGTATTGTACCTGTACCTACAGCAGTGTATTGTACCTGTCCCAGCAGTGTATTGTGCCTGTACCTACAGCAGTGTATTGTACCTGTACCTACAGCAGTGTATTACCGCCCAGCTGTGTACCTCAGCTTGTACCTGTACCTACAGCAGTGTATTGCCTGTACCTACAGCAGTGTATTGTACCTGTACAGCAGTGTATTGTGCCTGTACCTACAGCGTGTATTGTACCTGTACCTACAGCAGTGTGTTGTACCTACAGCAGTGTAGTTGCCTACAGCAGTGTTTGCTGTACCTACAGCAGTGTGTTTCCGTACCACAGCAGTGTGTTGTACCTTGTACCTACAGCAGTGTGTTGTACCTACAGCAGTGTGTGTATGTACCTACAGCAGTATGTGTACCTGCTACAGCAGTGTATTGTACCTGTACCTACAGCAGTGTATTGTACCTGTACCTACAGCAGTGTGTTGTGCCTGTACCTACAGCAGTGTATTGTACCTGCCTACAGCAGTGTATTGTACCTGTACCTACAGCAGTGTATTGTACCTGTACCTACAGCAGTGTGTGTACCTGGCAGTGTATCCTGTACCTACAGCAGTGTATTGTACCTGTACCTACAGCAGTGTGTGTACCTACAGCAGTGTATTGTACCTGTACCTACAGCAGTGTATTGTATGTACCTACAGCAGTGTATTGTACCTGTACCTACAGCAGTGTGTGTGCCTGTACCTACAGCAGTGTGTGTACCTACAGCAGTGTATTGTACCTGTACCTACAGCAGTGTGTTGTGCCTGTGCCTGCAGTGTGTTGTACCCACAGCAGTGTGTTGTGCCACCTACAGCAGTGTATTGTCCTGTACCTACAGCAGTGTGTTGTGCCTGTACCTACAGCAGTGTATTGTCCTGTACCTACAGCAGTGTATTGTACCTGTACCTGGCAGTGTGTTGTACTGTACCTACAGCAGTGTATTGTACCTGTACCTACAGCAGTGTGTGTACCTGTACCTACAGCAGTGTATTGTACCTGTACCTACAGCAGTGTATTGTACCTGTACCTACAGCAGTGTATTGTACCTGTACCTACAGCAGTGTATTGTGCCTGTACCTACAGCAGTGTATTGTGCCTGTACCTACAGCAGTGTGTTGCCTGTACCTACAGCAGTGTGTGTACCTACAGCAGTGTATTGTGCCTGTGCCTACAGCAGTGTGTGTACCTGTACCTACAGCAGTGTATTGTACCTGTACCTACAGCAGTGTGTTGTACACCCGGCAGTGTGTACCTACAGCAGTGTATTGTGCCTGTACCTACAGCAGTGTATTGTACCTACAGCGTGTGTGTACCCTGCAGCATGTTGTGCCTACAGCAGTGTATTGTACCTGCACCTACAGCAGTGTAGTGCACCTACAGCAGTGTATTGTACCTGTGCCTACAGCAGTGTATTGTACCTGTACCTACAGCAGTGTATTGTGCCTGTACCTACAGCAGTGTGTGTACACAGCAGTGTGTTGTACCTGTACCTACAGCAGTGTGTGTACCTACAGCAGTGTGTTGACCTGTGCCTACAGCAGTGTATTGTACCTACAGCAGTGTATTGTGCCTGTACTACAGCAGTGTATTGTACCTGCTACACGGTTTGTGTACCTGTGCCTACAGACAGTGTGTGTACCTGTACCTACACCAGTGTATTGTGCCTGTACAGCAGGGTGTATTGTACCTGTACCACATGTGTTGTGCCTACAGCAGTGTATTGTACCTGTACCTACAGCAGTGTATTGACCTACAGCAGTGTATTGTACCTGTACCTACAGCAGTGTGTGTACCTACAGTGTATTGTACCTGTACCTACAGCAGTGTATTGTACCTGTACCTACAGCAGTGTATTGTACCTGTACCTACAGCAGTGTATTGTACCTACAGCAGTGTGTGTACCTGTACCTACAGCAGTGTGTGTACCTGTACCTACAGCAGTGTATTGTGCCTACAGCAGTGTATTGTACCTGTACCTACAGCAGTGTATTACCTACAGCAGTGTATTGTACCTGTACCTACAGCAGTGTGTGTACCTACAGCAGTGTGTGTACCTACAGCAGTGTATTGTGCCTGTCCTACAGCAGTGTGTGTGCCTACAGCAGTGTATTGTGCCTGTACCTACAGCAGTGTGTGTGCCTGTACCTACAGCAGTGTATTGTACCTGTACCTACAGCAGTGTGTGTACCTGTACCTCAGCAGTGTATTGTACCTGTACCTACAGCAGTGTGTGTACCTACAGCAGTGTATTGACCTGTACCTACAGCAGTGTATTGTGCCTACAGCAGTGTGTGTACCTGTACCTACAGCAGTGTATTGTACCTACAGCAGTTGTGCCTGTACCTACAGCAGTGTGTGTACACCTACAGCAGTGTGTGTGCCTGTACCTACAGCAGTGTGTGTACCTGTGCCTACAGCAGTGTATTGTGACCTACAGCAGTGTGTTGACCTACAGCAGTGTGTGTCCTGTCCTACAGCAGTGTGTGTGCCTGTACCTACAGCAGTGTATTGTACCTGTCCTACAGCAGTGTGTGTACCTGTACCTACAGCAGTGTATTGTACTGTGCCTACAGCAGTGTATTGTGCCTGTCCACAGTGTATCTGTACCTACAGCAGTGTATTGTACCTGTACCTACAGCAGTGTATTGTACCTAGCAGTGTATTGTACCTGTACCTACAGCAGTGTGTGTACCTGTACCTACAGCAGTGTATTGTACCTGTACCTACAGCAGTGTGTGTACCTGTACCTACAGCAGTGTGTGTACCTGTACCTACAGCAGTGTGTGTACCTGTACCTACAGCAGTGTTGTACCTGTACCTACAGCAGTGTATGCACCTCCGCAGTGTATTGTACCTGTACCTACAGCAGTGTGTGCCTGTACCTACAGCAGTGTATTGTGCCTGTACCTACAGCAGTGTGTGTACCTACAGCAGTGTGTGTACCTGTACCTACAGCAGTGTATTGTACCTACAGCAGTGTATTGTACCTGTACCTACAGCAGTGTATTGTACCTGTACCTACAGCAGTGTATTGTACCTGCACCTACAGCAGTGTATTACCTGTACCTACAGCAGTGTGTGTACCTGTACCTACAGCAGTGTGTGTACCTGTACCTACAGCAGTGTGTCCTGTACCTACAGCAGTGTATTGTACCTGTACCTACAGCAGTGTATTGTACCGTACCTCCATGGCAGTGCTCATTTAAAGAAAATAATCTTGAATTACACCAAGAGAGCTAAAATTTTATGGGTGAAATGGCACCATGGGGTGACTTCTCTTCCACCCCAATGCCTTCTCTTCTCCCTTCTCCTCCACCCCCATTCTAATTCCCATCATCATCATCATCATCATCCAGGAGCCTTCTACATACACACCTCAAAGTAAGTGTACTTTTCTACCTTTTTTGTTGAATTTAGGCAATTTTCGGTGAGCTGGAACCAATTACCCAAAAACCCATTGAAAAAATGGTTTCGGTTAACGAGCAACCTGCTGGAACGGATTGTGCTCGTTAACCGAGGGACCACTGTATTATATTAAGTGTACTCGTGTACGTTACCTTAAGATAGACTATTCCGTCGTCAAATCCCCGGAAGAGAATATCGCCGCCATCTTCCTGTACGGTGGGTCTAATCCGTGTGTCAAGAAGTTCCTTAATCATGGCCACCGTCTCGTCGTCTTCGTCGTCGCACCCAGCTGAAAATTCGTCATTCGTATTAACATTAAACAAGAAGCTTCATTAAAAATACTGTACATATGATTTGCTCGCTCCCAAACTGAAGCAGTATTGACCCCCAAAGGAAATTAAACAGTACTGTATTTCCACACCAGATGACAGTCGAGGTGAGTAAGTTTGGAGATTTATTCCCATGACTCAGTTTCACCACATAAATGCACTTCCTAAAATAATCTCAAATTCTGTTTACCATATTTGCTTAGTGACTGACAATTACCATAAATAAACTTCTCAATCTAACAGAGTGAAAATGTACTACAGGTGTGTGATGTAGTGAAACCATTTCTTAATGTTAAGCAATATACTGGACACACCTTATCCAAATACAGTACCTGTCACTACTGAAGTAAACTACAACTCTTGTTCACAAAAGTATAGAGAGGGTTCCCTCACCATGGTCATTCTCTCTTTGGTCAACTTGATGTATAACTGGAAGACCCGAGGCAAAGAAGTCCATGATGACAGCGAAGGCTTCTGGTTTAATAGTCCGCCACTCTGCTTCCTCGTCATCCTGCCGTTCGCAACATAACATTTAATTTGTAAGAGCAAATCATTTAAAAAGATAAAATTTACCAAAAATAAATAAATAGATCCCATTATGAATGTATATTAAAAAAATAGACACTTTTGAATGGTGGGCATTAGTAAAGTATTAAGTTAAACAAAGACACCTGAAAAAAGGCATAGAAATTTTACATGTGCTACTTGGCATTTCAAAATAAATCTAGAAGAGGATAGGGTTAAAAACTTTACCTTAGTTAAAGTGATGAAGTCTGTTGAAAAGAACACTCCTTGGACACCTTCAATTCTGAAGAGCAATTTAGCTAGTGGGGATTTCTGAGCTGCTGTGATGTTGGCAAAGTTTGCAGTTCCAGACTCAAGTATCTGAAATGATGAGCTACAGCAGTGTATTGTACCTGTACCTACAGCAGTGTATTGTACCTGTACCTACAGCAGTGTATTGTACCTGTACCTACAGCAGTGTATTGTACCTGTACCTACAGCAGTGTATTGTACCTACAGCAGTGTATTGTACCTACAGCAGTGTATTGTACCTGTACCTACAGCAGTGTATTGTACCTGTACCTACAGCAGTGTATTGTACCTGTACCTACAGCAGTGTATTGTACCTGTACCAACAGCAGTGTATTGTATCTGTACCTACAGCAGTGTATTGTACCTGTACCTACAGCAGTGTATTGTACCTGGCAGTGTATTGTACCTACAGCAGTGTATTGTACCTACCAGCAGTGTATTGTACTACAGCAGTGTATTGTACCTACAGCAGTGTATTGTACCTACAGCAGTGTATTGTGTACCTAGCAGTGTATTGTACCTGTACCTACAGCAGTGTATTGTACCTACAGCAGTGTATTGTACCTACAGCAGTGTATTGTACCTGTACCTACAGCAGTGTATTGTACCTACAGCAGTGTATTGCACTTTTCCCCAGCAGTGTATTGTACCTACAGCATTGTACCTACAGCAGTGTATTGTGCCTGTACCTACAGCGGTGTATTGTACCTACAGCAGTGTATTGTACCTACAGCAGTGTATTGTACCTACAGCGGTGTATTGTACCTACAGCAGTGTATTGTACCTACAGCAGTGTATTGTACCTACAGCAGTGTATTGCACCCAGCAGTGTATTGTACTACAGCAGTGTATTATACCTACAGCGAGTGTATTTACCTACAGCGGTGTATTGTACCTACAGCAGTGTATTGTACCTACAGCAGTATGTGCCTCACAGCAGTGTATTGTACCTGTACACAGCAGTGTATTGTACCTGCCACAGCAGTGTATTTTGCACATACCTACAGCAGTGTATTGCCCTACAGCAGTGTATTGTAACTTCCCCAGCAGTGTATTATTTGCCTACAGCACGGTGTGTTAGCTACAGCAGTATGTTGTACCTACAGCAGTGTATTGTACCTACAGCGGTGTATTGTACCTACAGCAGTGTATTATTGCCTACAGCAGTGTATTGTACCTACAGTGTATTGTGCCTGTACCTACAGCAGTGTATTACCTGTACCTACAGCAGTGTATTGTACCTACAGCAGTGTATTGTACCTGGCAGTGTATTGTACCCACAGCAGTGTATTGTACCTACAGCAGTGTATTGTACCTACAGCAGTGTATTGTACCTACAGCAGTGTATTGTACTGGCAGTGTATTGTACCTGTACCTAGCAGTGTATTGTACCTGTACCTACAGCAGTGTATTGTACCTACAGCAGTTATTGTTAACTACAAGTTGTACCTACAGCAGTGTATTGTAACTGGCAGTGTATTGTACCTACAGCAGTGTATTGTACCTACAGCAGTGTATTGTACCTACAGCAGTGTATTGTACCTACAGCAGTGTATTTTGCCACAGAGTGTATTGTACCTACAGCGGTGTATTACTTTCCCAGCAGTGTATTGTACCTACAGCAGTGTATTGTAACTTCAGCGGTGTATTGCACCTACAGCAGTGTATTGTACATACAGCAGTGTATTGTACCTACAGCAGTGTATTTCGTGTGTACCAGCAGTGTATTGTACCTACAGCAGTGTATTGTACCTGTACCTACAGCAGTGTATTGTACCTGGCAGTGTGTGTACCCTGGCAGTGTATTCCACCCACGGTGTGTTGTACCTACCTGCGGTGTGTTGTACTGCCTACAGCAGTGTGTTATGCTGTACCTACAGCAGTGTGTGTGTACCTACAGCAGTGTATTGTACCTACAGCAGTGTATTACGCACTACAGCAGTGTATTGGCCCACAGCAGTGTATTTGTACCTGTACCTACAGCAGTGTATCCTGTACCTACAGCAGTGTATTGTACCTGCCACCACAGCAGTGTATTGTACCTGTACCTACAGGTGTATTGTACCTACAGCAGTGTATTGTACCTACAGCAGTGTATTGTACCACCACAGCAGTGTAATTGTACCTGTACCTACAGCAGTGTATTGTACCTGCCTACAGCAGTGTTTGTACCTGTACCTACAGCAGTTATTATTGTTGCCTTACCCAGCAGCGGTGTATTGTACTTACCTACAGCAGTGTATTGTACCACCACAGCAGTGTATTGTTGTACCTACAGCGGTGTATTGTAACCACAGCGGTGTATTGGCACCAGCAGTGTATTGTGCTGCCTACAGCAGTGTGTGTGCAGCAGTGTATTGTACCACAGCAGTGTATTGTGTACTATGGCAGTGTATTGCCTACCTACAGCAGTGTATTGTACCTGTACCTACAGCAGTGTATTGTACCTGTACCTACAGCAGTGTGTGTACCTGCCAGCAGTGTTGCACCTACAGCAGTGTATTGTACCTGACTACAGCAGTGTATTGTACCTGTACCTACAGCAGTGTATTGTACCTACCAGCAATGTATTGTGCACATACCTGGCAGTGTGTTATTACCTACAGCAGTGTATTGTACCTACAGCGGTGTGTATTTGCCTACAGCAGTGTATTGTCCTGTACCTACAGCAGTGTATTGTACCTACAGCAGTGTATTGTACCCACAGCAGTGTATTGTACCACAGCAGTGTATTGTACCTACAGCGGTATTGTACCCACAGCAGTGTATTGTACCTCTACAGCAGTGTATTGTACCTACAGCAGTGTATTGTACTGGCAGTGTATTGTACCTTACCTAGCAGTGTATTGTACCTGTACCTACAGCAGTGTATTGTACCTGTACCACAGCATGTGTACCTGTACCCCACAGCAGTGTATTGTACCCTGCAGAGTGTATTGTACCTAACCACAGCAGTGTATTGTACCTACAACAGGGTGTATTGTACCTGTACTGTGGTGTATTGTACCTGCAGCAGTGTGACTGCACCACAGCAGGTATGTGTGCCTGTACCTACAGCGATTGTACGCGCCAGCGCAGCGTGTATTGTACCTCAGCAGTTTCCGTGTATTGCTACCCCAGCAGTGTGTGGCCACTGCAGCAGTGTGTACCTACAGCAGTGTATTGTCACACCACAGCAGTGTATTGTACTTACCATCAGCAGTGTATTGTACCTGTACCACAGCAGTGTATTATACCTACAGCAGTGTATTGACTACCTACAGCAGTGTATTGTACCTACAGCACGTTATTGTACCTACAGCAGTGTATTGTACCCACAGCGGTATATTGTACCCACAGCAGTGTTTGTACCTGCAGCGGTGTATTGTACCCACAGCAGTGTATTGTACTTCTGCAGCGATGTATGTACCCACAGCAGTGTATTTACATACTACAGCAGTGTATTGTACCTGTACCACCACGTGTATTGTGCCTGTACCTACAGCAGTGTATTGTACCTGTACCTACAGCAGTGTATTGTACCTACAGCGGTGTATTGTACTGTACCTACAGCAGTGTATTGTACCTGTACCTGCAGCAGTATGCATTGTACCTGTACCTACAGCAGTGTATTGCACCTACAGCAGTGTATTGTACCTACAGCAGTGTATTATTGCCTACAGCAGTGATTGTCACCTGTACCTACAGCAGTGTGTTATTGCCTACAGCAGGTGTATTGTACCTACAGCAGTGTGTTGACCCACCAGCAGTGTATTGTACCTACAGCAGTGTGTACCTACGCAGTGTATTGTACCTACAGCAGTGTATTGTACACCTGTACCTACAGCAGTGTATTGTACCTGTACCTACAGCAGTGTATTGTACCTGTACCTACAGCAGTGTATTGTACCTGTACCTACAGCAGTGTATTGTACCTACAGCAGTGTATTGTACCTACAGCAGTGTATTGTACCTATACCTACAGCAGTGTATTGTACCTGCACAGCAGTGTATTGTACCTGTACCTACAGCAGTGTATTGGCACCTACAAGCGGTGTTATTGCCTACAGCAGTGTATTGTACCTGTACCTACAGCAGTGTATTGTACCTGCACCTGCAGCAGTGTATTGTACTGCACCCGAGTGTATTGTACCTACAGCAGTGTATTGTACCTACAGCAGTGTATTGTACCTGTACCTACAGCAGTGTACCTGTGCAGCAGTGTATTGTACCTGTACCTACAGCAGTGTATTGTACCTGTACCTACAGCAGTGTATTGTACCTACAGCAGTGTATTGTACCTACAGCAGTGTATTGTACCTACAGCAGTGTATTGTACCTGTACCTACAGCAGTGTATTGTACCTACAGCAGTGTATTGTACCTACAGCAGTGTTGTACCTACAGCGGTTTATTGTACCTACAGCAGTATATTGTACCTACAGCAGTGTATTGTACCTACAGCAGTGTATTGTACCTACAGCAGTGTATTGTACCTGTACCTACAGCAGTGTATTGGCCTACAGCACAGTATATTGTACCTGTACCTACAGCAGTGTATTGTACTGCACCTACAGTGTATTGCCTACAGCAGTGTATTGTACCTACAGCAGTGTATTGTACCTGTACCTACAGCAGTGTGTACCTACAGCAGTGTTTGTACCTACAGCAGTGTATTGTGCCTACAGCAGTGTATTGTACCTGACCACAGCAGTGTATTGTACCTGTACCTACAGCAGTGTATTGTACCTGTACCTACAGCAGTGTATTGTACCTGTACCTACAGCAGTGTATTGTACCTACCTACAGCAGTGTATTGTACCTTACCACAGCAGTGTATTATTACAGCAGTGTATTGCTACAGTGTATTGTAACTACAGCAGTGTATTGTACCTACAGCAGTGTACTGCTACAGCAGTGTATTGTACCTACAGCAGTGTATTGTACCTACAGCAGTGTAATGTACCTGGCAGTGTATTGTACCTATACCTACAGCAGTGTATTGTACCTGTACCTACAGCAGTGTATTGTACCTGTACCTACAGCAGTGTATTGTACCTGTACACAGCAGTGTATTGTACCTACAGCAGTGTATTGTACCTACAGCAGTGTTGTGCCTGTAC